GTGTGGGTTGATGTGCCAGGCAGACAGGCAGGTCTCAGTAGCTTATCTGACATATAAATGGTCAAAAATTATACATTCTCCGTTTGCCTACGAGCTGCCCGTTCGAGCGAAGTACTATTCCTTCTAAATGTAGCATGACATTGGATATGCGCTTAACTTGTCCTGGATTGGAATTTTTCCGAACATTTCCCTAGGAGGAGTTTGCAAAAATGTGCTTAAAATGCATGAAAATACACATTTTTGAAAATTGCCGACTTTCTGGGGGGCTGGGCTAATGGAAGGCAATTTGAAATATGTCCAGATTCATAAGAGCAATGTGTATACAGCGTTTCGTGAATATCGGTAAAACTGTATGCGAGTAGTTTGGACGAATTTGTGACATGTAAATCGATGTATTTGCTGTTAGCTTACGACCTCCAGGATTGAGCTATCAACATTTGGCTTCACAATTTAGCATCATATTGGGGCTGAACTTGTCCTGGATTGGAATTTTTCCGATCATTCCCCTCGGAGGAGTTCGCAGAAATGTCCTTAAAATGCATGAAAAACGCACATTTTTCAAAATGAACGACTTTCTGGAGGGCTGGGCTAATAAAAGCAAATTTGAAATATGTCCGCATCATATACAGCATTTCGTGAATATCGGAAAAACTATATGTGAGCAGTTTGGAGTAATTTGCGACATGTAAATCGTCAAAAAATGGTGTATTCGCTGTTAGCTTACGACCTCCACGATTGATTTATCAAAAATGTGCTCCGCAATTTAGCATCATATTGGGGCTGAACTTGTCCTGGATTGGAATTTTTCCGATCATTCCCCTAGGAGGAGTTTGCAAGAATGTGCTTAAAATGCATGAAAAACGCACATTTTTGAAAATGGCCGACTTCCTTGGGGGCGGGGCTAATGGAAGGCAATTGAAATATGTCCGCAATTCCATGAGGAATGTCTGTGCCACAATTCGTGAAGTTCTGAGAAACTATATGTGACTACCACACAATAGGGGGCGCTAGTGAGCAGTTTCTTTGAAAAATTACGTTTTTTTTTTTACATTCTCGAAAAGGTCGTGGGCTGTGACGTGTGTTCCAAGTTTTGCGTCCGAAGCTCATTTTGTGCTATCACAATTTTAAAAATGTGTATAGGCCACGCCCACATTCTGCATTTGTTGCGACACTTTAAATCTCAGTTCGTATTCACCCCCAGAGTATGTGTAAAACATATATATATATATATATTCGTCCATCCGTTCTTGAGTTATAAATTGGTGGTGTTTTTGGCGCCCCCTATAGTCCAAAATGAAAATGCTTTGGTGTGCCTATTCCACAAGACAGACTGAACCTATACACCAAAATATGTGGTGAATGGATACATTGTTGATGAGTTATGAGCATTTCTTTCTAAGCCCCGCCTTTTTGCGAGTACGTTTTGATTCCTGCCGGCAATATTTATCGTCTGAACATGCTCATTTTCTACGGTAATGTGTCCGACCCTCCACCGATGCTGTATACGAAGTTTGGTGTTGAAAACCTGAAAATTGAAATTTAAGTTAACATTTCACTGTTTTTGAAAATCCACACAAGTGAAAGACACCTCAAGAGAACACTCAGAGCGAGGGGACATGCACGTCGAAAAGCATACTCTGAGCTGAGTTATTGACAGATTCGAATTTCGCGGATCAATAACTCATGAACATAACGTTGTAAAAATACAAAACACATGACTTTACAATCATAGCAAGGTAGACAACGAGCTACAGAGTCGTTTTGATCAGAACAGTTCGATACGCGCCGTCATCCGAGCTAAACATCAAGAATTGGTCACAATCTACAGCTGGAGGAGAGAGGAGTGCTTAGAGACCGTCTACAATCTACAGCTGGAGGAGAGAGAGGAGTGCTTAGGGACCGTCTACAATCTGCAGCTGGAGGAGAGAGGAGTGCTTAGGGACCGTCTACAAACTGCAGCTGGAGGAGAGAGGAGTGCTTAGGGACCGTCTACAATCTACAGCTGGAGGAGAGAGAGGAGTGCTTAGGGACCGTCTACAATCTACAGCTGGAGGAGAGAGGAGTGCTTAGGGACCGTCTACAATCTACAGCTGGAGGAGAGAGGAGTGCTTAGAGACCGTCTACAATCTGCAGCTGGAGGAGAGAGAGGAGTGCTTAGGGACCGTCTACAATCTACAGCTGGAGGAGAGAGGAGTGCTTAGAGACCGTCTACAATCTACAGCTGGAGGAGAGAGGAGTGCTTAGGGACCGTCTACAAACTGCAGCTGGAGGAGAGAGGAGTGCTTAGGGACCGTCTACAATCTGCAGCTGGAGGAGAGAGGAGTGCTTAGAGACCGTCTACAATCTGCAGCTGGAGGAGAGAGAGGAGTGCTTAGGGACCGTCTACAATCTGCAGCTGGAGGAGAGAGAGGAGTGCTTAGGGACCGTCTACAATCTACAGCTGGAGGAGAGAGAGGAGTGCTTAGGGACCGTCTACAATCTACAGCTGGAGGAGAGAGAGGAGTGCTTAGGGACCGTCTACAATCTACAGCTGGAGGAGAGAGAGGAGTGCTTAGGGACCGTCTACAATCTACAGCTGGAGGAGAGAGAGGAGTGCTTAGGGACCGTCTACAATCTACTACTGGAGGAGAGAGAGGAGTGCTTAGGGACCGTCTACAATCTACAGCTGGAGGAGAGAGGAGTGCTTAGAGGACCGTCTACAATCTGCAGCTGGAGGAGAGAGAGGAGTGCTTAGGGACCGTCTACAATCTACAGCTGGAGGAGAGAGAGAGGAGTGCTTAGGGACCGTCTACAATCTACAGCTGGAGGAGAGAGAGGAGTGCTTAGGGACCGTCTACAATCTACTACTGGAGGAGAGAGAGGAGTGCTTAGGGACCGTCTACAATCTACAGCTGGAGGAGAGAGGAGTGCTTAGAGACCGTCTACAATCTGCAGCTGGAGGAGAGAGAGGAGTGCTTAGGGACCGTCTACAATCTACAGCTGGAGGAGAGAGGAGTGCTTAGAGACCGTCTACAATCTACAGCTGGAGGAGAGAGGAGTGCTTAGGGACCGTCTACAATCTACAGCTGGAGGAGAGAGAGGAGTGCTTAGGGACCGTCTACAATCTACAGCTGGAGGAGAGAGGAGTGCTTAGGGACCGTCTACAATCTACAGCTGGAGGAGAGAGGAGTGCTTAGAGACCGTCTACAATCTGCAGCTGGAGGAGAGAGAGGAGTGCTTAGGGACCGTCTACAATCTGCAGCTGGAGGAGAGAGAGGAGTGCTTAGGGACCGTCTACAATCTACAGCTGGAGGAGAGAGAGGGAGTGCTTAGGGACCGTCTACAATCTACAGCTGGAGGAGAGAGAGGAGTGCTTAGGGACCGTCTACAATCTACAGCTGGAGGAGAGAGAGGAGTGCTTAGGGACCGTCTACAATCTACTACTGGAGGAGAGAGAGGAGTGCTTAGGGACCGTCTACAATCTACAGCTGGAGGAGAGAGAGGAGTGCTTAGGGGACCGTCTACAATCTACAGCTGGAGGAGAGAGGAGTGCTTAGGGACCGTCTACAAACTGCAGCTGGAGGAGAGTGGAGTGCTTAGGGACCGTGTACAAACTGCAGCGGGAGGAGAGTGGAGTGCTTAGGGACCGTCTACAAACTGCAACACCGAAAATATATACTCATAGAAAAATTAAATAACTTAGTGCTAACAAAATCTCTTCACACATCAATGGTTATGTTGTTGTTACAATATAAGACTTATTTTTGAATAAATATGCTTTAAAATATTTTCAGGCTTTTTTTTTTCAAACTATTTTAAAATTACTTTGACATTTTACAATGTAGTGCAACCAGACCCCTTTCACACATCAATAGTACATTCCTGCTCATACTACATCAGGGTTGTCCAAACTACGGCCCGAGGGCCATTTTGAATCGGCCCTCAGCTAATTAAAAAAGTATAATGAAATATGGCCCACAAAT